GGTGACCTGGGCGTGTTTTCGAGGGTGGCGCGGGCCAGGGGGAGGGCTCCTCCTCCTCCTCCTTCTCCTCCTCCTGTTCCTCCTTTTCTCCTCCTCCTCCTCCTCCTTCAGACCTTTAGTCGCGCATACAGTACGTTGGAGGTACCCGCTCGTGTATCTTTGGCTGCCGTACGCACGCCGATAGACAGTGCCACTACATGCGATGCCGCCCGTTGTGGACTGCAGTGTACCAGGCACTGGGGTATGAGATGCATCGGCTCCTTCCTGATCGCTTGGGGCTGCGTCTTCCTGGTCTCATGCATGTGGAAACCTTGGCGGTGGCTTTCAACATTTACCATAATATGCGCTTTCGCTTATACGTCACTTCTCCTGACCTTCGCTCAAGTGCACGTGCTGCAGTTAGAAACCTTCGATTGGCCAAGCCCGACGCGCAACTGGAAAAGAAGTGGCAGCCCCCTGCTGCGCTGATCCTTCACCGCCTGCCGCAACCCACAACTACCTCCTCGACCTCGTCCAGCGATGATGAAGCTGACGGACTGCATCCCGACCAGCCTGGAGATCCCGATGTTGGCCCTGGTGAGGCTGCTGCTATTCATGAGCGTGTCCTGTTGAGCCAGACATATGACATTGAGCCCAGCTACGACACTGGTCTTCTGACAGATGAGGAGTGCTATTCTGGACATCGCGTGGGCATGGAAGTTGGTCCGTCACCATGTCTAACCCCTCGGCGCGTCCCCACGGTGCATAGTGATGACGGCAGTGTCGCTCCTCCCTCCCTGCCTGGACCCCAACGACACTGATAGCGACTCCCACCAGAGTTGGACACATTGACGACCTCGACGGCTTCGAAACTGGCAGAACGCAAAGTCCTGTGCTCCTCGAGCAGGCTCAGTCGTCGCCTCGGTGGTCGGGTGTTGGTGGACTAACTGGCCTTTGCGCATCAGGAGTGAATTGTGAACTTGGCGTCTCAAGCGCGGGAACGAGGGTGTCGGCTTCCTCCTCTACAGGCCTGGTCGGTGCAGACCCCCTGGGCCGTGAAGGTGGCCTAGCCTTAAACCAGGGGAACGTCCCACCGACCAGGTCGGTGCGATCGTCATTGATGGCATGCACGGCAACACAGTCGCGATCGTCTGCTGGGACTTCGCTTTCTGGCCCTGGAGTGGCCCTCTCTGGAGAGGCGGCTTGCACATCGCAGATGACATGCACGGCGCCTCAGTTGCGTTCCACTGCTGGGTCCTCGCTCTCTGGCCCTGGCGTGGCCCACCCTGTCGATGAATGTGCCTCTTGGGATTTGTTCGTCATGAGTGACCGCCTCGCCGAAAATAATCTGCCGCTCGCCTGTCCGATCGGTCCCCGCATTAGCTGCGTGGCCGTCCGCCGCGCTCGTGGCTCCCTGGCTGTCCTCTCGACCCGTCCCCTTGCTCCTGATGCTCCCGCTCCCTCCCGCTCTCAACATCCTCTGAATGAAAATGATATAAATTCGACGGCTATCCGCCGTTCATCGTGTACTGCAGCTTCGGCGGCCTCAGCTACAACAGCTTCGACAGGAGGCGTGCCCCTGCTGCCTCAGGCGCCGTGCTAGGCGCGGGGAGCTGACCTCTGGGTACGCTGGGCTCCTTCAGACCTTTAGGTGTTGGCCGTGGTGTCCTCCGACGCAGCCGTTTCCCCCGGGGGCGTTCGCCCCTGGGGGTGGGCGCGCGATCAAGCTGTGAGGTCCGTGGAGAGAAATGGGCAGTCGAGCGACGGACCCCCTCTCATGGCATGGGGGCGGGGTAGCTCTGCCCCCCTCGCCCCGGGGGACGGGGGACACAAGCAGAGACAAAAGCAGTAACAAAGAGGGAGGGGAGGCAAAAGCAAAGACACAAGGCCAACAACAACAAGACAAAAACAACGACAAACAAAAACAGCAGCAACAGCATAGAACAGTAACAGACACACAAACAACAAAGAGGGAGGGGAGGCAAAGACAAAAACAAGGGAGGCGCGAGTGGTTGCGACGCTGCCGCAGCTGGTTGCGGTTGATGGCGTGTGAGTGTGGCGGCGCTGGTGCAGCGGGCGTGGCGGGGGCCACGCTCGTCAAGGCAGGAAGGCGCAAGGGCCCGCTCCCCCCTCAGCCACAGGGCATCCCGGCGGGACGGCCCCCGGCCGCCGCCCGGGGACCGCCGCCCTTCGAGGCAGGCGATCGGCATGCGCAACCGCGGGACGGGGGGCCGCGCGGGGATGCCCACCAGCTACAGGGAGACCTGCGCCTTCCTGTGGCGGTGGCCCCGCGTGGTGAGCGATACACACCCCCAGCAGATCCCACCCCGCTGCTGTCGCCGCGTGGCTGCGCGAGAGCTGGCGGCAGGCAGGCGGCATTGCAGGGGCCGCGCTCGCCGGGCAGCGGGAAGGTGCGAGGGCCTCTCCCCGTAGCTACAGGGCATCCCAGCGGGACAGCCCCCGGTCACCGCCAGGGCGCCCTCACCCGCCGAGGCGGTTGAGGGGTACCCGTGGTCGGGATTGAGGGCCGCCCCGGGATGTCCACCGGCCGAGGGGAGGTCTGCGCTCTCCCGAGAGGCCCTGCTCTCGGTGCGCGAGGTTCTCCCCGCCCGCCCCAGGAGTGCCGAGCCCTCCCGCACCAACAGGGGCGTAAAGGGGTGGCGGAGCTGGCGACGGAGGTGCAGTGCCGTTTTTAATACATGCTCCGCGTGCGGATCATGTATTAAACATGCAGGGATTTAGCACTAAAACAACGATGAGTTCATACATAGATTTAGTCATACATTGGTCATGTATTAAAAGTCCTATGTTTTTAAACATCCCATGTATTTAAAACTGCCCTGTAGTGGCAGCGGTAGCTGGATGGTGAGGCGAGCAGGGTGTAGCAGGCTGCAAGCGGCAGGTGGCAGCCTGGCTGCCCCAGGTTTCGATAGGGGCTGGCCTGCCTACGTTGCACATCGTGTTGCGCACAGCTGCACTGTGCCGGCCTGCCGGCAGCATTGTCTACCCAAAGCTGTTAGCTGGGACTCCTTGGCGAACGCGTGGGTAGCTGTGCCGAGGTGCCACTGAAGCTCGCGGGCAAAGGAGTTGACCGGGCGCGGCGGTACAGTGGAGACCCATGCCAAGAAACCCTGCTCGCCTCCAGGGTGCCCTGGGTTTCTTAGGTTTCGTTGGTTTTGCCATGGAGAGTGTGACCTTCCCACGCCAAAAATGAATGGACGTCCTGTGGTCTCAGAGTTGGGTTTCTTGTGGAAGGTTTCTTGTGGACTGGCCCCAACCGTAAGGCATGAGCGAGAGACAGGAGGCATGAAAGGAAGGCGAAGGCATGCGTGAGTAGGCGTGCTGGCGCGAGGGGGCGTGCGGCGGCGTGCGTTCCGCGGCCGCCCTGGTCAACGCCAGGGCATACTCGGTGAGTTTGCCCATCCCACCCGGTACTGATCCTCTCCACACCTGTTCCTCTGCCACACGAGTGGGACGGAGTAGGTTAGGCGCGTGCAAGGTGGGGGGGGCGCGGCATACAGGTGGAGGTGGAGCCGGAAAGGAGTGAAGGTGGGGTGAGGGCTCTCTCAGGACCAGTGGAGAGTTGAGGCCCCAGCTCGTAGCTGGTGATGAAGGCCACCGCCAAGTAGTTGCATGAGAGAGCTGTATTCACGGGTCTGGAAATATGATGTTCCACCCACGCGGACAAATGTGGCTTGTGCTTTCGCAGTGCGTCGGACGAGCAGCATACGTTGATGAGAAAGCCACGGCGGGTTTTCGAGCCCTGTTTGACCGTGGACGCACTGCATAGCATAGCCTGTTGTAGATGTAGCTGCCGTAGGTGCAGCATGTGGCACGTCGGATGAGTGTGGGTGAGAGAGCCAGCGCCGTGGACCCATTACCTTCGCGCCTTCTGAGGTTGGCGCTGTCGCCGTTTGCTGGTGCTGCCGTCGCCTGGGAGTAGGAGTGATAGCGCGCTGTGTGCCACAGGAGAGAAGAATCCAGCTGCAGCTGCTGCTGCTGTAGTAATAGTGACGGTGGTTTGGGTAAAGGATGGCGCAGAGGTCGAGAGTCGGTAATGGGACAGCTGGTGGCGCGTGGCGCTTTTTGAGCAAAAATCGGTAGGAATCCGCGGTCGCTGGTAGCCTAATTGGTGTGTGTGTGGGTGAAGCATTGACGGGCCTCTGCACGGTAGATCCCGTTTCGGCATGAGGGTGGCGTTCGCCTCTTAGCCGCTGGTTGTCGGAGAGGAGCGGTCGGTGGTGCCGCTCTGACCTGGAGGGTAGAGCCACTCAAGGGTGGGCGTCGTGTTGTCACCGATCACGCTGTCTGCGTGCTCGCTGGGGTTTTGTCCGCTTCAAGTGCGGTTCCCGTGGGCTGGAGTCTGTTGCGGCCGCAAGTTGCACTTATCGGTGGGTCAACGTCCGTCTTGATGTAGACCATGTTGTAGGCTGTGCAGTATTGGGTATCTGGCTTCGAACAGGTAAACCACTGCTGGGTGTTTTGTCCGTTGTCACGACTTGCGCTGTTGGTGGTCGTGGCAGTGGCATTCCCTCCAGCGGGGATGCTGGGAAGGTGCACTGCCCGCAGGAGCTGCTTCACTTGCTGATCGAAAGCCCTCTTAACGATCGTGAGGACGCGTATTCGCGTGAAGAGGTCGGCGGCCAGCATCGCGTCGTGGCCGCCGTTGGCCGCCGGGGGTGGCCGACGTAATTGCAGGTCCCTGCTGGTGGCTGCGTCTTTCTCGGGTCTGTGCCGGTCCGGGCGTTGCCGTGCGTCGCTGGGCCTGCCGCAGTGTCCTGGTGGCTGGGGCCGTTCGTGGAGCCCGACGGTGGGTCATGGTGGTCGGGGTCTTGGTCAATTGGTTCTGCTGTGGTGGCTGGGCTGCTGGCGTCATCATGTTGCAGCAGTATGTTCATGCAGCAGAGCATGTTCCTGGCGGTGTCCCTCTGAAAGGAGGACGTGGTGAACGGCGTTGGTGTCCCCGTCGGGCTGTAGCGCAGTGCGAGCTTGACGTAGCTGCAGATCTCGTCACAGTCACG